AACCCGCCCCTATGGGTTAAGGCCATAACCGGCCAGTAATCACGAGATTACCTACGGCCTCAAACCAAATAAGACAAAACTCATCAGAGTAAAGGGGCCAAACGGAAGCAAATTTAAAACTTTGTCCATAGAGCTGTGTTTACATGGCACATTATGACAAACCATCCATATGCCTATTAATAACTCACAGCGAAATATGTACTACAAAAGGTTCTGTACATACAGGATCATATCAGTCTAAGTCAACCCAAGAAAACTATATACAACAAATTCAAAGACTTCGCCCATGTGACAAAATATAACAAAATGACAAAAAGGCAAAGGTGGGTCTCGTACGTGAGACGCAAGGGCAGACTCTTCAAAACTTTTGTTGTTCCTCACAGACTTCACTGGGGCTGGGTTTGGACTTCTCTTGGCTCACCTACAAACACATGAATGAAACACATTTTTTGTGTTTTCATTTTTTGGCCAAATTTATAAACTGAGACCACTGATTTATAAATCAAAAATTTTACCAAACAAGTTTTTATTTGAGTTTTTAAAATTTTTGTAAATATAAACAGAAAACTGAAAACGTAAGTGTTACCAAACGGCACCTAAGTGTCCGTTCTTCTTAATCAATTATCATTCATGGATCGTTTGGTAATGACCTTTTTAATTGACTTTTTGACTTTTTTGATTTTTTTAGCCTGACACTTTTTTGTTTGTTTGGTTTTCTTGTTAGGGTTTTTTGGTTTTTTGACTTTGAAATGGCAAACTTTTTTTTGTCCTTTTGTATTTTTGACTTTTTAACTTTTTTGACTTTTTTTTTTTTTTTTTTTTTTTTGTCCTTTTATGATTTTTTAGTTTAGAAGGAAAATCAAATTGGGGCTCAATATGTCTTCTCATATTTCCTAATCACCTAATACAATACTCCACCTACCCATATTCTCCACCAATCACAATGTTATGGAATACCACGTGTCTATATTCTGGAATTATTGAACAATTACACCTTCAGGATGAGGTGAATTATTAGCAAGGGAAACAACTTTAAGGGAAATTATTAAAGGCTGGTTTGTCATAGTCTAGAAAAGTTAAAAAGTTATTAAAAAAGTTAAAAAGTTATCAGTATTCACAAAAAAATATATATATAAAAAAAATAAATTTACACAAAAAAAATACAACCCAAAAAGTCATTGACATGATGGTATAGTCCAAACCAGATGATACAAATTACCTAATTGGCTACACAAAAAATTTACAAAAAAACGGTGTTGTTTGGCCCATGGGGGCCTACCATGTGTCCCGTTTTGGTAATCGAAACTGTTCAATATATAGAACTCGTCGAGTACTATATACACGTGAAAAATCACGTTGATCGGATATCGATAGCTATGTGATCAAATCAAATTTTTTTCAGTCGTTTATTTTTAATCGTCTATTTTTTTATACAAAACTGCTTTGATCACATAACTATCGATATCCGATCAACGTGGTTTTTTACAAGCATATAGTACTTAACGATTTCTACATATTGAACAGTTCGGATGATTGAAATGAGACCCGTGGTAAGCCCCTCTAGTCCGATGAAGGATTAAAAGAAAGCCTCATCTTATATATATAAATCTGAAGCATGTCTGCCCCTATACACAATTCAAAGCATTCCGTATTGCTTCCTTCAATAGTCACTGTCACTATGCATAGGGCATAGGAATAAAATGGTAATTTTGTTATTTTATAAAATATTTTAATACACATTTTTTCATAAAAAGTCAAAAAATTATCCCAAATAACCATCTTTTTTCCCTCAACTTTTTTGTTCAAAAGGCCAAAAAGTGCATTTATTTAGGACATTCCAAACAACCCTAAATATTTCTGGAGTACCACGTGTCTGTACTTTTCAATCAATCATCATTTAATGTGTCATTCATGTTCTCCAATCACCCAATATAATACCTTACCTATCCACATTTTCCATCAATCATAACACTATGGAATACCACGTGTTCATATTCTGGAATTACTGAATAATTACCAACTTTTGGCCTTTGTTTGACATAAGCTAAAATGAGACTTTTTAACTAAAATAGCCACAAAAAGACAAAATAAACTTTTTAACTTAATAAGACAAAATGTTACATTCAAACTATAATCATTTCATTTTTTCTCTCACAAAAGTCAAAAAAACTAAAAAACACTTTTTAACCCAAACTAAAATAATTAAAAAAACTAAAAAAACCAACCCAAATCGCAAGCAAACCTTTGTCCGTCTCATAATTGGGGGTAGCATCTATTCTCTCTCTCTCTCTGATTATGATCCATAGAGAATTCTAAAATCAATTCATCATCATTTATATTCTCTCAAAGACATGGAAGAAGAAAGAGAGCATGGTGGAAGTGGAAGAACAGTGTGCGTGACAGGGGCTTCAGGGTTCATAGGCTCATGGCTTGTGATGACTCTTCTTCAACGTGGTTATCATGTTAGAGCCACTGTTCGCGATCCTGGTCTCCTTCCTCACCTCCTTCAATTTCTCTGTTTCATTCTTTTTTTTTTTTTTTAACAACTTCAATTCTTCAATTGGTGTTTGCAGATAACAAGAGCAAGGTAAGTCATCTTCTAGACTTGCCGAAAGCAGGAACACACCTAACCCTGTGGAAAGCAGATATAATGGAGGAGGGAAGTTTTGATGATCCAATTCATGGTTGTGATGGTGTCTTCCATGTTGCCACCCCTACGGAATTTAGTTCCAAGGATCCTGAGGTATATGAATTGTTCCATATACATATATATATATATATATACACAGTCGCATTTGTTGAGAATCAATATTTTGTTCTTGGACAGAATGAAGTAATTAAACCAACAGTGAATGGGGTTTTGAACATCATGAGATCATGCTCCAAAGCCAAAACTGTGAAGAGGCTTATCCACACCTCAACCACTGGAACTGTTGTCATCCAACCACAACCCCAACCCCAACCTGAACCTGATCAGTATGATGAGAGTTTTTGGACCGACATCAATTTCTGCAAGGCTCAAAAGATGACTGGATGGGTACGCAGTTTTTTTTTTTTTTTTTTACACAAAATTTGATCATAGAATCGAACATAACTTTTATACATAAGAATATAACTTAGAAATTCAATGAGTCTCACCTCGTGTGACAGTCATGCCCTATGATCAAATTTTGTGCACCTAGAATTTTCTTTTGTTGTATTTCCTAAAATTTCAGGCATCATTCGGTTAGAATTCTCAAGCCAATCTTCTCCCTAATTCCCAGCGTAAAATCAGCCATAGTCCATGTTATGCAGTAATCTAACGGTGGTTCCAATCACAAAACCATAAAGATAAATTAATAAAACACCTAAAATTCAAGATATACATAGTTCAACAGCATGCCTATGTTTACAGAATAGGAAGATTAAATCCACTATGTGCTATGAAAGATTAAAGAGCTCTGAACGTCTCAAGTTAACCATTTTATAATATTGTAACATTCTCACACTAAAACCCTAGCCAAAAAATACAATAAGTACTTTCAAAACTTCAGGCCTTGGCTTATCAACCTCATCCTTTTGCCTCTGTAAAAGGCCCCCATTACAGTAATTTTGAATGTACAGTAAAAGTGAAAGACGCCTCACAATACTCCACCTCTAATTTACTGTTGGGCAGATAATAGGGCAACTTGTGAACCTGCAATTTGTTCACAACTTGACAAAAGCTGTGAGATTGGGACCATGGACCATGGTTCAATTATTTTAGCACCAAATATATTTTTGTGTTTTCAGATGTATTTTGTGGGGAAAACAATGGCCGAGAAAGCTGCTTGGGAATTCGCTGAAGAGAATGGGCTTGATCTCATCACCATTCAACCCTCTATTGTAATAGGGCCTTTCATCACGCCTTCAAAGCCTCTCAGCATTGAACTGTCAATTGCCTTAATCACTAGTATGTATAATTCTCAACTTGGGGCAAGTATTATTGTCAAAGCAGTTGTCATGAATTACATGAAAAAATTACAAATTTGGGAAGACAAAAAAAATGCTCAGAAAAATATACAATTGGTATAAATTTAAATTTGGTGTGATCGTAGGAAATGGAGCACTTCACCCAACGCTAACTCAAACACTTGTGTGTGATGTATGCAAAGCTCGATTTAATTTGTTTATAGCTTTAATTGAATGTACTTTTTTTTTAATTTTATCTACTTGGCTTAATTTAGTTCGTTTACAATTTTAACTTAACCTAATCTAATGATTGTAGGAAATGAACGACTTTATCCAATGCTAACTCGAGCACGGGCCGTTCACGTGGTTGATGTATGCAATGCTCACATATACCTGTTGGAGCATCCGCAAGCCAAAGGAAGATACATCTGCTCGTCTCACTGTTTTACCATATTTGATCTCTCAAAATCCCTCAGTCAAAAATACCCAGAATTCAACATACCAACCAAGTATGTGAACCAAATATATATATATATATAGTAGTACTAATTCCGATGAATTAGCCCATCTCTAACTTCGTCTCCTTTTTAATTTTACGCAGGTTTGAGAGTGTTGATGAATCGTTGAAACCTATCCCTGCCTCGTCGAAGAAACTGTTGGACCTAGGATTCAAATTTAAGTACAACTCGGATGAGTACGATGTGGGAGACTTGTGCAGTGAAGCCATTGAAACATGTAGAGAAAAGGGGATGTTGAAACTATAGGGAGCAAGAAATTAAAAAGCCAACATTAGGATTTAAAATTTATAATACGCAAATCTATGTTTGATATGGTTGCTGATTGATCAGTGTGCTTTCTTGTTACTCCAATAATAATAGGGAAATTGCATTTAAGTTGGAAATTTCAAAGTCATATCACTTTCACTTGGGCTCACTTTGGTTAGGATGAAAATGATAGAAAATGAAGAAATTTTTTTTTCAGCAATGGTTTAGGGTATTAATTTTGATGTTCTAATAGAGCACTAATGACATGGCAAGGAGAAAAGAAAAAAAAAAATTCAAGACCAAAACATCACATCATAATAGGTGAGATTTACTGCCAACTCATTAGAGCTGACTTTAGAACTCAAAAATTAGAGCTCTAAAACATTTTTAAAAAAATTTAAGTTTGTTTAGCGTGAAATTGGTGGAAGTTATAAGAAAATTAATTTTCTTGTACAATTTATAATAGCATGGTAACTAAGCTTGTAGTTTCTTGCAAAAAATATAAAAAATAATAAAAGAAAATTTAAGTTTGCTATAAAAAGTAATTACTAATAATTAAAATTTCTATTTTCTTACAAAATTTTTATCCTAATCAATTTCATACAAGAAAATATATATATATAAATATTTTATTTCATTTTTTATCATTTTTATTTTCCATCATTTATTTATTTCTAATCAAACATAGCATCAAATGCAATGAGGAGAAAATAAGAACGGTGTGCAATGGTTTTTGTTTGCATCAGACATATTCATTTACACCTCTATAAAAATATAATAATTATTTTTTGAAAGAAAAATATAATTATTTTGAATTGTTCCTATTTGAATAGTCCTCTTTGTAACTTATAAATATTGTGTTCAGATTTTGAATAAATAATAAATTATTTGGTTGAAAATTTTAACAATGCTCATCATTTTGCATTTATAACTCACCCAACTTGTTCAAATTGTTGATTGAATTTACCAAAAGCTTAACTCACTCGTTTTGGAGATGAGAACGGATTGAAAAATTCTCAAATGTACCAAAAATGTTTTAGTTTGCATTCTCAATATGATAAATCTTTATGAAAAAAAAATAATAGTTAAATTTTACTAACCACCTTTAAATTTTTAAAAAAATATAAATTTTATAAATTTATCATAATTACATTAAATTTTTTAATAAAATTAAAATAATCAAAACTCATGTGTAGACAAATGATAACACATGGAAAAAGATTATATATTTTCATATAAAAAAGATGGTAATATTTATTTTTCGTCTACATATTTGAGGTTTAGTGGCGTTTATTATGCCGCGTCTAACAAAACAGCGGCGTTTTAGTGAAACGTCACAACAGTCTACTTTTTCGCACCGTTTATGCGCCTATCGACGCTGGCATCATCAGAGTTCACCCCTGGTTTCTATCCTAATCTGCCCAAGCCACCACCATCGAAGCCTATGAAGTCATTTCTCTCCCACTCTCTATCAATTTTTCTTTCGATTTCATATTCATCTCCAGATTTGACTTTCGAATATTTGATTTCCTGTTTTTCTTCGATTTTATAACTTTGATTTCCAAATATGATTTCGAGATCTGATTTCGAATCTTTGATTGTTTTTCTTTCGATTTCTTGTCTTTGATTTCTTTTGGTTTAATATTCATTGAGACGATGATGATGGAAATAAAGAAGAACGAGATCTATAAGCAGCTTTGTTGGACGATGAAAGGATAAAAAATGTGTGAATCAAAGAACGTCTTCAAGATTCAGACCAGGTCATTTCCATTTGATCTTGATTTTTCCTTGTTTAATTTTAACATTCTGATTTGCTATTTAATTTTGATTTTCTGATTTTTTTTTTTTCTTCCTAAAAATCTGAACTTTATTTTATGTTTCAGTCTGAAGATCTGGAGATTCTCTGGTTGAATTGTTCCAGTCTGAAAGAAGATGCGTACAATTCCAGGTAAGGTTTTGCTCCCTCTCTCCCTCACTTCCAAAAAAGGAAAACATAAATAATAATGAAGTTAATTATCTTTGAAAGCATACTATTATTGTATATTGTTATGATTGTTTTAGTATCATTCAACCAAAAAAAAGTAAAAAGTTGTTACTGTCTTGCCTATTTTTCATGTTGTTGTTCATTGAGTTAGCAAGAAGGAAAAAAAAATCTGTTATTTTGTATGTTCAAATAATTCTTCACAATGAAGCTCTTAGCAAAAATAGAAGAACACCAGCTTCACATCATTCCTCAAGATCTCCAAAACCTCTCAAGTGAATAAAAGGCCTATAAGCGTCGCAATATCTGTTGGTGGCGTTGTTGTGATCTGCATCGGCATGTTTTAAATGCCGCTAAATGCTTGATTTCTTCTCTTGTATATTAACTAACAAAATACTGGTAAAAATGTGTGCCAATTCCATATAAATTTTACAGACCTCAAAGGATAGTGCTATTTACCCACAAATCAAACCTCTAATAATGTCATCCAATCTAATCCCTTCTAAACATGGGATAGAACCATAAAAATTATCCTTTTAACAACCTTTCCTTGTCAAAGAAAAAAACAAACTACCTTTCCTTCACATGTTTGTCCATTATGTCATCACTTACCTCAACTCTCAATAATAGTCTTATCCCAAAAAAAAATTTAAAAAAAAAACACAAAAAGAAAAAGAAAAAGAAAAGTCTTTATCATCTGATCACCACCAAACATTTTAAAATGGTCTTGTTTATAGCAGATACCTCAGAAATACTATACATTAGTTAACTAAAATTAAAAAATTTGAAAATTATTTATGATATATGATTTTTATAAAAAAAAATAAAATAAACATTCACTTTAAATTAATAAAATCAATCGAATGTAGCGGACCTCATGTGATCTGTTATTGTTTACACGATGTTAATTTTTCATACATTGATGATTTTTTCTTTTTCCAGTGAACACTATCAAAAACTAATGTAATAGTAAAATACTATGTAAATTAAATTTATTTTAAATGTAATTTTCATCAGATTTTAAATTTAAAATATCACACTTTATTTTTTAAATATCTTATATTTTTTTCAAGAGTTTCATAATTTTTTCTCACTATGTAGTCGTAACTTTAGACTTGGTATTGTTGGACAATCTTCACTGTAATTAAATTAATTAATTCTGTTTGGATACTAAACGACAAACAGAATATAAAAGAAAATAGGAAATGAGAGAGAAAGTTTGATTACAAAAATCAAACTAGAAATAGAATTAAATAAATAAAAACAGATTTTATTTTGTTACAAAAACAAAATAACAAAATAAAATCTGATTTAAATAAATAATAAAACAGAAAATAAATAAATAACTTACATGATTAATATCTTGAATATTATTCTAATCAAGTTCAGTATTCGACACTGTCTCCTTAAGACAGATTCGTCCTCTCCACGGTACTTTCAAAATATGGACGTCTATTTCCTAGGATGAAATGATCAACTACAAATAAATATAGCACTACAATTTATTTTTTCAACGAACACACTAAGTGTTTACACTCTTTCTCACAAAAATTAAATGCAGCAAAATGAAGAATAAATTTGCAGAGGAGAAGTACGAAATTTCTAAATATAAAACATCAAATGAGGGCTGCCTATTTATAGATGTAGTGGTGGCTATTGATTTTGAATTAAACAGGTGCTAACCTGTTTTGAACATGTATGAAACCTGTTTGATTTTGAATTAAATAGATTTAAATCTGTTGGGTTCGAAATTCAAACAGATAAAAAACGGAAGGGACCTGTTTGGGTGTAGAGAAAAATCGGAACAGAATAATTTCGGAATTAATTTGAATTCTGGACAGGTGGACAGATTTTATTTCAAAAAATAAAATTAAATCCAAATTTTTTTGGCCCAAAAAGATTAGTATTGGGCCGAACAAGCCCAACCCAACCACACACCACACACTCGTGCCCAGGCCTAGCCCAGCCAGACGGACGGCGGCGGCGCGCGCGTGTAGTGATTTTTGGGCCCAATGGGTCAAGCCTATTTTGCCCATAAACTCCCTCTCTACAAAACTTGGGTACCTCTTGGGGCAAACCCTAAGTTCCAATCCTATGCCTTACAAACCCATTCAAAACTTTCCACCAAATCCATGTGGGACAAGCCATTTTCCAACCTTAAGAAATTTCTACCAAAACTCCATTTCCATGGAGCTCACTTTGGCTTCAATTTCCCATTCACTCGATAATAGTTTTGAGCAACCAAATATACCACATGAATCATAACGCGGCATAGAACGCGTTACCACTTTGACACGCAAAAATCGACGCACGGGTCCCACCTAAAAAATAGACTAAACTTAGGAAAAAATTCTAGTTTTACCCAGAATTTTCCAACCATTTCCAACAATCCCCCACATGAATGGAGTTTGATGACAACGGAAATGCAACAATATGCAGACTTTATCGAAAGAGTATAAGTTGAAAATATCTTGCATCAAGATAGGTAGCTTTCGGCCTTGAACCTTCCCTAGTGATAACCTATCGGACTTACTAGCTAACCAATGGACGCGATGCCTTGAATTGTTCAGCCGTTTGTGTAAGCCAAGACAATAGATTTCACACAAAATATCTTCTAACACATCGTGGTTCTCACTATTGTGTTCATTTTATCCTTAAACGCTCTTGATTTTCATGAGTGTTTCTATAGAATTTAGCTTCTTCATTCTCATAGAACCGGCTCCAGTTCGACACTCATATAGGTGATTTTTATTGTAAGTATCTTGTTATACTTGTCTTGATTTTTATACCTAAATCAAGATATAAGTAATCATTAAAAGCAAAGTTTATCCTTATACCCCTGCAGACAACACATGTTGCAGATATCACTCTCACCATAGGAATGGGTAGGAATTTTAATCCCTTGGTGATTTCTAGCGAGCCACACATAACTTAGTTATCCCTTTGAACTTAGTTCTTAGGATCTCCATTCATATAAGTAGGGTTACCATTATGATGACTCTTATGTACTAGGCTTTAATCTCATCCCCTTCGATGAACTATACACTAGCTCTTTTGTCAAACCTTTTGTTAACGGATCCATAATATTCTCTTTAGATTTTATATAATCTATTGAGATTATTTCATTTGACAACAATTGCCTTACGGTATTATGTCGACGGCGAATATGTCGTAACTTACCGTTATACTTATGATTCTGTGCCCTGCCTATTGTAGATTGACTATCACAATGAATGCAAATAGCTGGCACAGGTTTTGGCCACATTAGAATATCTTCTAAGAAATGACGAAACCATTCTGCTTCTTCTCCTGCTTTGTCTAAAGCAATGAACTCGGATTCCATTGTGGATCGTGCAATGCATGTTTGTTTCATGGATTTTCAAGAAACAGCAACGCCTCCCAGATTAAAGACATATCCACTAGTGGATTTTGAATCTTTAGTATCGGATATCCAATTTGCATCACAATAACCTTCAAGTACTGTTGGATATCGAGTAAAGTTCAAACCATGATCACGGGTGAATCTTAGATATCTAAGAACCTGAATGATCGTCTTCCAATGGTTTTCTCCGGGGTTACTAGTGTACCTACTCAATTAACTGATAGCATAAGCTATATCAGGACGAGTACAATTCATTAGGTACATTAGACTTCCAATGATTTGGGAGTATTTTAACTGAGACACTGCGTCACTTTTATTTTTCGATAAACAAAGACTGATGTCTACAGGTGTTTTAGCTACATTCAAATCATCCTTAATAAATTTATCAAAAAATTTCTCAATATAATGAGATTGAGATAATGCATATCCGTCAGATGTTTTAGTAATTTTCATTCCTAATATAACATCTGCGACCCTCAAATCTTTCATATCAAATCTTTTGTTAAGCATTTGCTTAGTTGATTTGATCATGTTTTGATTGCTTCCAATGATAAGCATGTCATCCACATAAAGACAAACTATGACATATCCTAGGTCTGTGTTTTTAACATATACGCATTTGTCATATTCGTTTATCTTAAACCCATTAGTAAGCATTGCATGATCAAATTTTTCATGCCATTACTTAGGTGCTTGTTTTAATCCATAAAGAGATTTTACAAGCCGACAAACTTCTTTTATTTCCCTGGCATTACAAACCCTTCGGGTTGCTCCATATAGATCTCTTCATTTAGATCACCGTTTGAGAAAGTTGTCTTAACATCCATTTGATATATTTCTAATTTAAACAATGCTGCTATAGCCATAAGCATGCGAATGGATATTATTCTAATCACAGGGGAATATGTGTCAAAATAGTCCAGACCTTACTTTTGTCTGTAACCTTTAACTACAAGTCTTGCTTTATACTTGTCAATTGAACCATCTGCTTTCATTTTTCTCTTGAATATCCATTTATATCCAAGAGGTTTAGAACCTGGTGGAAGATCCACCAATTCCCAAGTATGATTTTGCATAATGGATTCAATTTCATTATTAACAGCCTCTTTCCACAAAGGTGCTTCAGGACCTACATTGCTGCCTTAAAGCTTTGAGGTTCATTTTCGAACAAGTATGTCAGAAAATCTGGACCAAAGGATTTTGATGTTCTCGCTCTCTTACTTCGTCTTGGTTCATCATCAATTAAATCCTGTTGGTTGAGACCATTACTAGTCTCTTGTGTTTGATTGTCATTAGTCTCTTTGACTTTATGTACAATCAAAGTTCTTTTCTGTGAACTTAATTCCTGTCTTTCTTGTAAGGAAAGACATGTTCAAAAAAAACAACATTTCTTGACTCATAATAGTGTTCACATTTATATCAGGTATTTCTGATTTATAAGTCAGAAACGATATGCACTACTATTCTGAGCATAACCAATAAACACACAATCTACTGTTTTTGGTCCAATCTTGTCTTTTTAGGAACAGGAACTTCAACTTTTGCCAAATACCCCCACACTTTTAAGTATTTGTAAGAAGGCGGTCGACCTTTCACAATTCATAAGGAGTGCTGTTGGTTTTCTTGTGGGGTATTCTGTTAAGAACACAATTAGCAGACAATATGGCTTCCCCCACAAGTTCTGTGGTAAGCCTGAACTTAGTAACATGCATTCATCATTTCTTTTAGGGTTCTATTCTTCCTTTCAGCAATTTCATTTTGCTGTGGAGGATAAAGTGCTGTAGTTTGATGAATAATGCCATGTTGTGCACAAAATTCATTTAATGGTGCATCATATTCACCACCCTATCACTTCTAACCATTTTAATGGTTTTGCCAAGTTGATTTTCAACTTCTGTTTGTAGAGTTTAAACATTTCTAAGGCTTCATCTTTACTTCTAAGTAAATAAACATAACAATATCTTGTGTAATTATCGATAAATGTTATGAAATACTTTTTACCTCCTCTAGTTTGAACAAATTTAAAATCATATACATCTGTATGAATTAATTCTAGAGGTTCGATTTTCCTTTCAACTGATTTAAATGGAGCCTTAGTTAGTTTCGTGTAATAACCCTCGTCACTGATTATCGAATAACCATTGATTACCGTTAAACTGAACTGATTATGACTGATAAGTAAACTGATTGAAATACTGAACTGACTGACTGAAATTTGAAACTGAATCGATTGAGTACATCTGTTTGAATTGCATTCTATCTATTGATTGTTTATTTGATCTGTTCGTATTTTAGTGTTTAAACTGCTAATTGAAGGCCTTATTGGCGGCCGAACCGGGAATTGGTTAAGTGTTTTACGATCATTGTGATTTATGTGATTTTATGGTGTAATTATCTGAAAACTGATTAGGTATGATTAAATTAGATTAAATGGTACCAAATTACATGAATTGGACTTATTTACATTAGTGCCACTTAGTGGCCCACTTCATACCATATTTGAGGCTTGAATTATCCTTAGGCACACCATTTCATCAGCTCTTTTCTTGACTCCCACCGAATTTGAGAGAGAGTGAATTGAATACAACTTGATTTTGTGCATTGACTTGAAGATTTGCTTGGTAATCGAAGCATAGATTGCATTTTGAGCTTCTAGTCTTGCATTGAGGACCTAAGGTAGAGTAGCTACTCTTTGTTCTTGACTTTAAGTAAATTCTTGCATGTTTTATAGCAAATTGAAGCCTTGAGCCAAGTTATGGCTCTTACATGTTGAATTGTAGCTTAATTGTTGCATGCATGGCATACTCTTGCATTTTTGAGCTTATTCTTCATAAAAATTGTACATGCATGCTCATATTTTTACAAGAGACCATGAATTCATCATGTTTTTGAAAGATTTGGCTCTCTAGAGCATGAAATTGAAGCTTTGAATTGGTTTAAATTCATGCATGTTTGCATGTTCTCCATGTTCATGAAATTGGTTTCAAATTGAGTTTGAATTAAACACCCTTGGGCTTTGATTTCTCAAATTGAGTTTTGAAACATGTCATTCTATGAGTTTATAAGAGTTTTCCAGAAAATGGGCCAAGAGGATCGGTTTTGATGCATTTAAACTTGAGTTTGAGCTTAGAGGTGCAATCTGGGTTTTCCAGATTTTGCATTACCGCTCGAGCGGGGAAAGTGGTGCTCGAGCGGGGAATCCGAGCCTCCAGTAGTTCTTTGCATTGTTTTATAGTCCGCTCAAGCGGAGGATTGGACGCTCGAGCGGAGGCATGTGTCTCACGCTCGAGCGGGCGTCGAGCGTCCGTCGAGCGGAGATTTCACCCATCCAGTACTTTTACAGTACGCTCGAGCGGGGGATTTGACGCTCGAGCGTGTACCTTTGTTGCATGTCCGCTCGAGCGGGGAAACCCAAGCTCGAGCGGGACTCTGTTTTTCTGAAAATTCTGAAACTGTTTTCTGATCACATCTTTGCATCCTCATCCCATTCTAGGCATTCTTAGGCCTAATTTAAGGCATCTTAGTGAGGATATAGATGCAGAAACACACCGAGGCAATTAGGGATTAAGTTATTATTTTCCCAACCGTGTAGCTTAGTGTGTGTTGATCTGTTAACTGTGTAGGGTTGGCGACTGGGGAGACACGCTCTAGCATACTGTAGCCCAGAACTCTGTGAGTAACGTTTGTGTAAAGATATGTTCGCAAATGATTATCTTCTGAACAACTGAACTGTACTGTTTTCTGAACTGATTACTGTTAACTGAATGAATGTATGTCCTATATTCTGAACTGTATTGTGGCATCCTTAGCACCTACTGTCTACTGTTACTGTGACAGAAATCTCTGTCGGTTCCCTCGTGGAACCACTACTGTTTACTGACTGATGGCCATCATTACTGTTCGGTCTTTTAAGACCTACTGTTACTGTTATGCTAATGGATGTACCACATATGACTGTTTACTGTACTGAACAACTGAAATACTGATTGAATTGAACTGTTTTCATCACTGTAAGGACATTCATTCTAAACCCCTTACTGTAACGCCCTCAAATTAATAGCATTAAACTCATTAAATAAGACATGCATTGACACTCAAATGTTCCATATTCTTTCATATATCAGAGTTTCATTACAAAAGGTATTACATGTTAACAACAAAAGCAAATGCCTTACAGGCTTACAGCTTTCCAAGTTAACACTTGGTTACACCAAAAGAGTACTAACTCGTACACATTAAGCCCTTGGCTTGTATTTACATGTAATACATCAAAAAGTAAAATCGACACCAGTGTGTCCGCCTCTAGCCTCCCTAGCTATGTCCTTGGAGGTGGCATGCTTCCTGTTGTAGAGTTTAAACATTTCTAAGGTTTCATCGTTACTTCTAAATAAATAAACATAACAATATCTTGTGCAATTATCGATAAATGTTATGAAATACTTTTTGCCTCCTCTAGTTTGAAATAAATTTAAGATCACATACATCTGTATGAATTAATTCTAGAGGTTCGGTTTTCCTTTCAACCGATTTAAATGGAGCCTTAGTTAGTTTCGCTTCTACACAAACTTCACATTTATGATTAAAATTAATTTCAAACTTTGGTATATAATCCAAACCAATTAATCTACGCAAAGCATCATAATTTACATGTCCTAATCTACCATGCCATAAATTTGACTCAAGAATATAAGCAATAGATGTGTTATTCTTATTACTAGTAACTTTTGGTACAACTGTCATTACATTTAGTTTGAAGAGACCATCACTCATGTATCCCTTACCAACATACATGCCACTCTTTGTTAATACAAATTTTTCTGACTCAAAGACAAGCTTAAAACCATTTTTACTTAACAAAGAACCATAAACTAAATTCTTCCGGATGTCAGGTACATACAGTACGTTGTTGAGGGTCAGTTCTTTCCCTGATGTCATCTTCAAGATCACTTTTTCTTGTCCAGCCAGAGTAGAAGTAGAAGAATTTTCCTTGAAAAGTTGTTCACCATTCGCAGCTTCATTGTAGGTAGTGAACATCTTCTTGTTCGCACAAATATGACGAGTTGCCCCAGTGTCAACCCACCATTCCTTGGGATTTCTAACCAGATTAGCCTCAGACACCACAGCAGAGAGGTTGATGTCATTTACTCCGTCAGAGATGTAATCTAGTTCAGTTACATTAGCCTGATTGATAGTCTTCTTGCTTGTACTTCCATAATCCTTCTTAGGGCGGCGGCAGTCAGAAGCTCGATGTCCAGTCTTGCCACAGCTATAGCATTTTCCTCTGAACTTCTTGTTGCCATTGTTGTCGCCTTGTTTAGGACCATCTCCACTAAACTTCCTCTTTTTGTTATGTGGTTTGTGAACTTGTTCAACCACATTAGCCTTAGACTCAATGGGATTTTTCCCATTCCTTTTTTCAGCCTTACGGTTATCTTCCTCAGTTCTTAGTCTTACAATAAGTTCATTCATGGTCATCTCTTTGCGTTTATGTTTTAAATAATTTTTGAAATCTTTCCAAGTCGGTGGTAACTTTTCCACTAAAGCAGCGACTTGGAAAGACTCGCTCAGAGACATATCCTCAAAATGAATATCATGTAAAATTAATTGAAAACTTTGAACTTGAGAAATTACCGTTTGGGAGTCTACCATGACGAAGTCTAGAAATTTACTGACAACAAATTTCTTCATACCGGCATCCTTTGTCTTGTACTTCTTCTCCAAAGAATCCCACAATTCTTTTGCTGACTTCAAAGGACTGTAAACATTATACAGTATGTTGTCAAGGCCATTGAGGATATAGTTTCTGCACAGGAAATCTGAATATTTCCAAGCATCTACAACGACAACAACTTGCCGATCACTTTCACCCTCTTTAAGTGCTGGAGTTTCTTCATGGAGAAACTGAGCCAAATTAAGAGTTGTAAGATAGAACAGCATTTTCTGCTGCCATCTCTTAAACTCAGTATCGTTAAATCTTTCCAGTTTTTCTCCATAATTTATTAGTACTTGAACATGGTTCTGGATAGGGACCGGTGTTAGTGTAACAATTGGAGTACCACTTCCAGTTGCAGTTTCAATTGCAGTAGCCATAAAATCTTATTACAAAAATCAGAAAAACAAACCACAAATTAATTTTCTAGTTACTAAAAGCAGAAAATAAATTATAACACAAAATAATTTTATTTTCCTTGTTACTAAAACTAGAAAAATAAAATATCACAATAATTTTCTGTAATACCAAATAATATTCTGCAATTGTTAATGACACCAGTATATTACTACTAGTTGTCAAAGAAAATAGACAGTATATTACTACTATCTGTCAAATAGTTTATAATACTATTTGTATTTTGCAACCAGAATATCACTTTGAAAACACAGAAAATTAAATATAATGAAGACACCAAAAATAGTTTGTCTTAAGATTGTTGGATAATTTTCACTGTAATTAAATTAATTAATTCTGTTTGGATACTAAACGACAAACAGAATATAAAAGAAAATAAGAAATGAGAGAGAAAGCTTGATTACAAAAATCAAACTAGAAATAGAATTAAATAAATAAAAACAGATTTTATTTTGTTACAAAAACAAAATTAAAATCTGATTTAAATAAATAATAAAACAGAAAATAAATAAATAATTTACTTGATTAATATCTTCAATATTATTCTAATCAAGTCCAGTGTTCGACACTGTTTTCTTAAGACAAATTCGTCCTCTCCACGGTGCTTTCAGAATATGAACATCTATCTCCCAAGATGAAATGATCAACTACAAATAAATGCAGCACTACAATTTATTTGTTCAACGAACACACGAAGTGTTTACACTCTCACAAAAATTAAATGCAGCAAAATGAAAAATAAATTTGCAGATGAGAAGTACGAAATTTCTGAATGTTAAACATCAAATGAGGGCTGCCTATTTATAGATGTAGTGGTGGCTATTGATTTTGAATTAAACAGGTGCTAACCTGTTTTGAACAGGTATGAAACCTATTTGGTTTTGAATTAAACAGATTTAAAAATTCAAACAGATAAAAAAGGAAAGGGACCTGTTTTGAACAGGTATGAAACCTGTTTGGTTTTGAATTAAACAGATTTAAAAATTCAAACAGATAAAAAACGGAAGGGACTTGTTTGGGTGTAAAGAAAAATCGAAACAAATTAATTCCGGAATTAATTTGAATTATGGACAGTTGGACAAATTTTATTTCAAAAAATAAAATTAAATCCAAATATTTTTGGCCCAAAAAGATTAGTATTGGGCCGAACAAGCCCAACCACACACCACGTGCCCAAGCACCGACCGGCCAGAAGGCGGCGTGCACGTGGTGATTTTTGAGTCTAATGGTTCAAGCCCATTTTGCCCATAACCTCATATAGACGTTCCCAAACGCTCTGGGAGAAATCCCGTTTTATTCATTGGGCTTACTACAGTTCGGGACTCAAATGTCACGGTCCTGTATCTAATCTCATAGAGTGCAATGCAAGACCGATGAATCATCAAAGAGTCCAAATCCGGTAAATCGTTTTGAAAAACTAATTTTTAGAAAGAAGTGCCAAACATGGACTGCTTTGCCAGATACAGAGTCGCCACCTAAATATTTTATTTTGGGAAATTTAGGAAACCCTGACTCGTTTGCCTAAGGACACGCGTCCGTCATCACTAAAGTTGCCTCGGCTCGGGAACTTGGATACGATTGGGGAAGGTCACTTCGTGAGCACCCCCGCTCGCCCGATCAAAGATCGGCCTCTACTGATCATGATATCGAGTGTTGAAAACATTATGTGCTCTTATTTCGGTTATTAGCCTAGAATTATTATGTGATGCGCACAGCATACAAGTATAGACTGGGTCGCCTAAATTAGAACAAAACATCTCATGTTCGTTTTGAAAAACGGTTTGAAGGTACTACTCGCAAGTAGGCTAAGATGTGGATTTTGCCACCCTCGGGTGGGCTTAGAAAACATGATTTTGCCACTCTCAAGTGGGCTTAAAACTCTCATTCAATGCATTGTTCCGATTCAAATAAGCCAACCTCCACCCACAAGCATTCAGGCAGTTATATCACATAAGCAAATAGCCTCATGGTAAGCATGCTATCATAGCAGTCACTCACACGCATGCGAGGATGCTAAAGCATAAACACTCACTGAGTACTCCAAGCCAAAACAGAAACTAGTTAGTAATCAATGCATGATCGTAGTTCATGTTAAGATGGCTAATGCAACACATGTAAAATGCAATTCAGATAGGCTCGGCTATTCTAAACATGGCATATAAAATGCAACAGATAACATGTATTCAACTTGGAATTGAAATACAATGCAGTTAGTATGATGCGCCGAGCCCGGTGCATGCAAGACAGATGAATGGATGCAAACATGCGAGCATATAGATGCCAATTGAAACATGCCCTAAAACTAACCATCGTAAGCTGGTAAATAAAAGGGAGAAAGATGTGGGGTTGGAAGACATACATCACACACACGCACACTTATTACAACATTGCCCTCCTCAGAGGGTCCGAATAAATATTACACAACCAAAATGAATAACTAATTATTACACAACACTAGCTAATTAACAAATTAACTAAGAAAGTGAGTAAACTAGCATGCAATGCTATATGAAGTAGACTGCCTCAGCTCTGTTCGGAATGATGA